CAACAACAACAACAACAACAACAACAACAACAACAACAACAACAACAACAACAACAACAACAACAACAACAACAACAACAACAACAACAACAACAACAACAACATTCCACAAGCAGGCCAGACCTCGGTGAGGTAGCGGGTGTTGAAGTTTGGCATGAAGGTGCCGTCATCAAGCTGGGTGCACGGCGCAGTTAGCCCGCGGAACGCGTCGTTCGTGGCAAAGATCTGCTCAGTCAGGGTGAGTGAGGTTTGGGGCGGAAAGTGGAGGATAGGTTTGCGGTGGCTGTGAGAAAACAGAGGTGGTGGTGATGAAGGCGCGAGGTGATGTGGCAGTGATGATGGCAGCACAAGTGAACAGGATCACGCCCGCACAACAAAACACAAGCAGCGAACAACAAACGCTGTTCAACAACATTCAGCAGAGAGCGCACGCCAGGCAGCCAGCGAGCCCACGTGCATGTGCGCACCTTGGCGAGGCTGCTGGTGTCGGAGATGACGTGACCGTACACATCGACCATGTACTCGGCAATGGGCTGCCACTTGGACATGTCTGCAGTCGTGCGCGCAGCAATCACATCGCGGCACGCCTGCAGCACCAGAGCAAAGCAGTTGGGTGGCGGCGGTGGTGGTGGTGAGTTGTCGTGGAGTAGTGGAGTTGTGGTGACGAGAAGTAGAGCGTAGACGCAATGGTACTCCACGTGAACGGCATTCATTCACACACATGCGTTCGTTCACAAGCACACAGAACAGCTCAACGCACGCACACACACACACAACAAACTCAATACGCACACACACACACAACAACAACCTCAATACGCACACACACAACAAATTCAAGACGCACACGCACACATACATACATACACACAGAGTTATGCAAGCACAACGCGTGCACAGGACCTGGATCTCGTCGGAGAGGGTCTGGAGGACGTTGGCGGTAAAGTCGTTGCAGTTCTGGTAGAAGAGCGGCTGCTCGGCCACGGGCTTGCCGTCCCAGTCGTGCCAGATGCCATAGCTGATGCCTGCAGGCAACGGGGAGGAGCAAGGGGAGGAGGTGAGGGGAAGAGGAGGATAAGGAGGAGGATAGAAGGGTGTGAGGGGTTCACGCGTTGTGCCATACTACTGACCAGGGTGGATGATGGCGTTTGTGCACCAGAGGGTGGTGTTGAGGAAGTGACCGCCGACAGAGTACTTGGTGTGCTTGTGCACCGTGTTCAGAATCTCTTCGAGTCGCTGCAGCGATGATGATGATGATGATGATGATGATGATGATGATGATGATGATGATGATGATGATGATGATGATGATGATGATGATGATGATGATGATGATGATGATGATGATGATGAGT